GGTGGTGGTAGTATCATGTTGTGGTTCTGCTTTTGTTCAGCAGAAAGTGTAAGGTTGGTTAGAGCTTATGAGAGGATCCAAATACAGTGAAAACTTACTAAAAACATGCGAGTTAGAGTAACTCTTTTATAGAAGCAACGGAAATTACTTATCTCTTTAAATTGTTCAAAACTGGTAAACCCTAACCCATAAATGCTACTTGTAAGAGGAGCAATGATCACAAAAAATGCAGATCCTGTGGGGAACTAAACACATACATGCTTTCATTTTAAGATAAAAAAAAAAAAAAACAATATCAAAAAACTATGCCCTTGGAATTTAATACCAGTTTCCTATCAAACAAATTTAAGTTTGTGGTTTGAAACGTAACAAAAATAGATTCCAATCAATGTGAATCCCTAAACAAGACACTTTTTTGCTTTGTTTTTTCTTTTTATATCACAGCCTAACATACTTTAAAAAGGCAACAACAATGTTTTGTTATGATACAACCAGTCAGTAACAGAGAATTAGGTTTAACTTTGGCTCCATTTGGGTCCAAATGTTTCACTATCTTTGAAACATGGACCAAAGGTCAATGCTGGTTAAAACTTACTTTGTAGAACTAATCAAAAATAGCTTCAGCCGACAAACCAAGGGGCCGTAATATTTGTATTACACTGTTTCAGTAACAGAAATCCTTCTTTTCCACAGTTAATATGATCACCTGGGAATCTGACTGATCCTGGACTCTAAAGGACACACCGTTCCCAACACGATGATAACACACAGGGTTTGATTATAACCAATTAAAATGATAAAATATCACAAAATCCCGTGGAACAGCTAATAACTAACAGCTATCTTAATAAACATAAGCTTTTTTAACTCGGCTAATGTCTCCGTGTGATAAACAAGCCTGTGACCGGTGAAACAAAGCTAACTGTTAGCATAAGTAACGGGAAGCTGTAACAAGTACTTACCTCACCGGACAGGCCTTATGTGATCTCTAAGACATACCCCGAAAACAATTAACTCTAGAAACCTCTGGTTTGGTGGAGTGCAACGTTCAATGGTGTCTGTAATTAGCAATAACCTCCTTCCGTTGCTGCGTTAGCTCTTCCTGCTCTCATTCAAACGCCATGCTGCCCGATCAACCAATCACGTAAGACTTTCTTCCTCGGTGGTATTTGGGATGTTTCCAGCTACATTACCACCTGTCGGTAGCTTTAAGTATCGACTTGTCCGCGTTCATTCTTTAACGTCAGAGATTTTTTCCCCATTAAATAAATATTCATATCAAACAAGTACCAGGGTTTGTTTGGAGGAATAAACATGTGTTTTAAGTACAGCAAAATTTAATTTAGCTCCTTTTCACATTTGCAAACCACCCCAGGTCCATGATTTACTGCTTTAAGTTATAGTCTAGTTAAATATAGGGTCTAACAAGTCAATTGTTATACAGAATCTCTGGCAGAGGTGATAAATTTCCTATTTTCCTCTTGTTGATCGTTTTAAATTTTTTAACCAACAAAAAAACTTTGATCAAAGTGTGATTAGTTGTTCAGCAAAGGGGTGTTACTGGATCCTTAAAATGTTTGATAGTCAAAGGGACTTTTTTTTTTTTTTAAATCTTCCAACCACATTTGTGGACATTTATATTTGACTAGAGCATACTTTTCTGTGCCAGAAGTGAACAAGCCTCCAGATGAACTTTTTTCCCCCCAATTTGTCACATAAACAACTACATACTGTTGTGTATTTTGTAGAGAATAAGACCAAAATAACAAAAATGAAAAGTCATTGGAAAGTGGTGCACAGTTTAACGGGTAGCAATGTCTGCACCAGCTTTGCAAATCTAGTCACCTGAATCATTTTCCTCCATCCCTCCATCCATTATCTGACATGCTTGTCCCGAGTGGGGTCGTAAGGGGTGCTGGTGCCTGTCTCCAGCAGTCAATGGGCGAGAGGCGGGGTATACTCTGGACAGGTTGCCAGTCCATCACAGTGCAATCATTTTCATTTTTCTTAAATTATTAAACTAAAAGTCCTCTTTCTAGCTATGACCGAATGGCTGTTAGGGCTGTTTTCCTCTAATTGTTCTTTTTCACACAATATTATTCCATTTTGCAAAAGTTTCAATTTGGTCTCCTCTGCTCATCTTCCAGATGCAGGCTGTGTCTCACACACTGCTGTTAGAAATCTTCAAACAGGATCAATTGTGGTTAATTTCAGTTATAGATTTTCTTACTGTCCTTTCTTCGTGTTGAAGGTCCATGGCTTAAAGCCATCTTATTTCCTACCTAAGTTTGAGAAGTATAGGCCTATGGGTAAAGCCTATTGTAAAAACTGAATGAAGCAACATTGTTTTAACTGATTTCTGGCAGAAAGTCTAACATGTAATTATTTCATCAGCATCATACAACACAGATTATTTCTAACAGACTCTAAATAATCTCTTTATGAAAACATGTAAACAGAGGAGGTGAACAGCAGGAAGTGGAAGTATCTCTGGCGCCCCCATGAAACAACAGCATCTTAATCTCTGGCGATGGAGTGAGTTTCCTACATCTCTAGCCCTGCTCAGCACTAATATTAGGTATTATGTCAGAGGAAAGAACACTACAGTATGTTTTTAGTAGTACATCTAGCTGGCACACCAGTCAACACTGATCTGATCAGCCTGACTCTGCAGCCAGACTGCACCGATGATCAAAGGAGCACACTCTGTGAGCTGATTTCTTTAAGGGGATAATGACATAAAGGAGGTAACCAGGTGCTGCTTAGATAAAAGGGAAATCATTGGGGTTGTTTTGCCAGGACTGTGGGTCGTCCCAGCTGCAGCAGCTCAGGGACACAGAGATTCGTGAGGAGCTGATGCTGCTGGAGGCAACAGATGGCAATATCCAGGCTGCCCTCAAGCTCATATTTGCCTGAGGCAAATTTCATGCTGTGTGATTATTAGTATTATTACTGTTGCGCTGTTCATCTTTAATTTATGGGCAGAACAGTTAAATCCAAGCTCCATGGGTCTTACAAATATTGTTGAAACAATCTTTAATTTAATTTCCGACATCCTATTCACTCCATAATTGTTATTGCTAGCATTAAACTGCAGATCAGAGCTTAGATGCTTGTAAGATGTAATTTTTGTATCAAATGGTTAACATTACAATTCAAGGTAGAGCATTTATTTATAAAAAACATAAAATAAAACACCTCTCCTGGTCAAAATGAAGTAAAGAGACACTAATTACAGATTTAATTTAAAGAGTCCATTATATAATAAAAAAAGATAATTTTAGATAAAACAGTCCGTCCATCCATCCATCCGGGTTCCTTCCATCCATCCATGAAACTAAAATACATTTCTGATCAAGTTGGTTCTCCACCAATGGACAACTACTTTGGATAAAGGACTATTTTGGATGTACAGAACAGGCCGCTCTAGATCAGGGGTTCCAAAACATTTTAGCATGTGTCCCCCGAAAAAACAACGGATCAGACTATACATAATCTATTAATTACTTTACTCTGTTTATACATATAAAGTAAGGTTATTATTTGCATTCTTAAGTAAACATGTATTTCTTATAAACATGGTTTTTAATTCAATCTGATATTTAATTGTGCATTTTATAATTTTAATCATATATAGATTTTGAATAATGTTTTAGATGAATAAATAAATGTTACATCTATTTATTTCATGGAACATTCACATGCATTTATATGTTTATAGTTGTATTTTGACCGTCCATTTATCTCAGGGATGATATTACAGGGATTTTTGAAAATGCAAACCCCAACTTGGTGTCTCCTGACCCCCATTTTGGGAACTTCTCTGAATCATGTAAGATTTTCCAGTTTGACTCAGCTCTCCACCATCTGTAAATCCAGCTAAGTTGTAACTAAGATGTTGTACTTTTGGTCATGATCCACATATCGGCACTACGGAGGAGGGAGAAAACTTTAAACTGGCAGATCTAGAACTAAGGCTTTTGGACCTCAACAGCTCTCTTATTGCTGCAGAGAAGGCATCAATTTGCCTTTCTATCTCCTATTCCATCCCAGCTTCATTTAACAAGGCATTAAGATATCTGAGATCCTTTAACTGAGGCAGAGAAGGGGTGAGGGGATCAATGCTCCTTGCTTTGAGGTCAGAGGCACTCTGCTCCAGTGTGCACTGAAATAACTGGTCTGAAGGTGGCAACAAAACCCCATCATCAGTAAAAAGCAACGATTAAACGCTGAGATTTTCTCACCATACAGCCTTCTAAACATGACTAACCCATGAAATTCTATTCATGAGGAGGAAAAAATATCTGAGACATGCAATCAAAGCAAAGGCTTCAAACTTAGACATCTCTTTAAGGAAGACATAAAAAAAAAAATATATATATATATATATATATATATATATATATAAAAAACCCAAATCCCCAAAAAGCCAGTAGGGTGCAATATGTAATCTAAAAAAAACTTATTTATCTCTACTCTGACAGAATTCCTACCTGCTGCACGGAAACAGGCAAAGATTTAAAGGTGTAAGGTAATACTGTACTAGCACAGTCAGTTACACAGCAATAGTTCTCACGGTTTTATCTTTGTTGTCACACAAAAAAAATACAATAGTTTTTCTTAATCAAGGTCAGAGACGTTGTGCTTGCTCTGTTGGAGAGTAAATATGGTTTCCTCCTGCTGGGGAGCTTAGCTCTTTCCTCCAAACAACTCACTTGGATGAATCTTATTCCTCTCAGTAAGGGGAACTTTTTTCCATCATATAAATGGAAAAAAAAAAAATCATAAAAAAATACTTCTTCTGAGGTGTAGACAGGTAAACTAAGAGTAAATTATAGGGCTTATAAATATTACAATTGGAGAAAGATAAAAAACTTGTTATAAGAATTTTCAAAATATATTCAATTCAGTTTATTTATGTAGCGTCAATTCACAGCACATATCTCAAGGCATTTTACAGTTCACCAGATCATACAGTCAAATTGATTCAAAGTTTTCCATCTAAGGAAAACCAGTTGATTGCATTGATTCATTGACTCGAAGGCAGCCCTCCCACTGAGCATGCTTAAAGCGACAGTGGAGAGGAAAAATTCAATTTTAAGAGGAAGAAACCTCCAGCAGAACCAGGCTGTGTGTGAGCGGCCATCTGCTGAGGCCGACTGGGGTTAAAGGAGACAGAAGCAGAGATACAAAAAGCAGCTGTAAACAGGCAAACGAGCTCACAGTCAGAGAAACAGGACTAAACTGAAAAACAGGCCGATCTCAAACATCTATAAACAAAGGTGTTGATGGCAGCAGCATAGCTGATATTTCTCTCCAGGATGGAGTCACAGCCAAACAGGAACAGAAGAGGCGAAGCTACTATGAGAAAAAGCAGAGAGAGCATAATGTTAGAGATTGAACTAGCAGATTCTGCAGAGTGGAAGAATAGATAGAATGAAGCAAAATAATGATATAGGGGTCCCTATGTCCTCCAGAAGTCTAAGCCTATAGCAGCATAACTATAGAGATAACTCAGGATAACCTGAGCCACTCCAACTATAAACTTTATCAAAAAGGAAAGTTTTAAGCCTACCCTTAAAAGTAGACAGGGTGTCTGCCTCACGGACTAAAACTGGTAGTTGGTTCCACAGGAAAATGAAGTGACAGACTAATCCGCTTCTTTTTGAAAGACTCTGGTCCAAACTCTATAACTTCTGTTGTGTATGCATTCTGAGCAGAAAGTTAAGAGTCATCCAGGTTTTTCTGTCTTCAAGACATGCCTGTAATCTATGTAATGGGTTGCCTTCATCTGGATTTATAGACAGAGTATCATCAGCACAACAGTTGAAATCAATCCCATGCTGTCTAATAATTCCACCGATTGGGAGCATATATATACACACTAAAGAGAACTGGTCCTAGCATTGATCCCTGTGGTACTCCACGGGTAACCTTTGAGCATGAGGAAGATTTCTCATTAATGTGAACAAACTGAAATTGATCAGATAAGTTTTAAAACAGTGTTGTACTGCACCTTTATATTCCTACAAAACATTATGGTTAACTGATCGCACACCATTTTGGCAACTACTTTCTCAAGATTTTAGGTAAGGAAGATATAGGTCTATATTGACCAAGTCATCTGGATCAA